AGTTATAGTTTGAATGCCAAAATGATGAACCAGAATTACCTTTTAAAGGCAGAAGTGTAAGAACTGCAATCCCTATATCAGGAAGGATTGACATGGAAATTTGTTACATCGTGATAAGAAGGTTGAGTTCTGACCTGACTGTGAAACTTCCCCTGAAACTCCTCAACTATAAGTAAGAGAGTTTATGATCAGGAGAACAAGATCACCAGGTAAAAGGCACTCAATATCAGTTAATATGAAGACATGCAAGTCCAAATGTAAATTAAATATCATCTTATATCTGTTAGGATGGCTAGTATATAAAAAATGCAACAAATGTTGGTGAGGATCTGGAGGTAAGTGAATCTTTGTACTTGGTTGGTGGGAATGAATATTTATAGACACTAGAAAAAACAGAATGGAGGTTCCCTAAAAAAGAAAAAACTGCAATGAACTGAAATAGAACTACCACAGGACCCAGCAACTGCACTTCAGAGTACATGCTAACAAAATGAACTCAAAACCTTTAAGAGGTATATGTGTTCCCTTGTCCTTGTGATATTATTTTAAATAGGGAAATATGGATAAGTGTCTGTTGACAGATGAATAAATAAAGAAAATGTGCTGTGTATGTATAAATGATGGGCTATTATTCAGCCATAGAACAAGGAAATCTTCCCATTTGTGACAACACGGATGGACCTGAAGAATATTATGCTTAATAAAATGTATACACTAGACAGTACTTGCTTAAGCAGCACATATACTAAAATATATACACTAGACATAGACAGTCAAATACTGTATGATCTCACTTACGTGTGGAAGCGGAGAATATCAAACTCTTAGAACCATAGTTTAAACTGTAGTTGTGAGGATTGGTGGTGGAGAAAGTGAGGAGATGTTGGTCAAAGGGTACAAACTTTCAGTTATAAAATGAATAAGTTCTGTGGATCTAATGTAAAGCCTAGTGATTATAGCTAATAATTCTGTACTGTGTTGTTGAGATTTGCTAAGAGAGTTTGGCTTCCCTGTTAATACACACACAAACACACTCACACACTCGCAAAGAAACTATGTGAGGTGACGGATATGTAATTAACTTGACTGTGGTAATCATTTCCTATGTGTATATGTATTTAAATAGTCCTTTTGTATATATTTAAAAAGTTTCATCTCACACAACCCAAATGTATGCCATTTTGTCAACCACTTCAATAAACTGAAAAAAGAAAAACAATGAAATAGTATCCTGTCAGTACAGAACAGAGTCCAAGGATGTAAAGTAGTTTCATACTTCAGACATTTTACTGAGATGGTTTGAAACAAATAATCCTGTATAAGATAAAAAATTTCAAGAGGGTTACTTAAATTTCATTACCATTTAATCATTGACAATACTGTGCAATGAACACTATCTTTGTAGTCATCAATACATTAGATCTCGTGCTCTTAATTAAACAAAGTTGATTAAAATTTGAAGTCCACCAAAGTCAAAGATATGGAGTATATACTATGTGGCTTCTAAAAGACAGCTCTGATATTTGAGTAATCTCTATTTCATGAAGGAAGGAAGACAGAAAAACAAAGNAGGAAACCAGATCTGAAAGAGACACGTGCACCCCAATGTTCATCGCAGCACTGTTTATAATAGCCAGGACATGGAAGCAACCTAGATGCCCATCAGCAGACGAATGGATGAGGAAGCTGTGGTACATATACACCATGGAATATTACTCAGCCATTAAAAAGAATTCATTTGAATCAGTTCTAATGAGATGGATGAAACTGGAGCCCATTATACAGAGTGAAGTAAGTCAGAAAGATAAACAGCAATACAGTATACTAACGCATATATGTGGAATTTAAAAAGATGGTAATGATAACCCTATATGAAGGACAGAAAAAGAGACACAGATGTACAGAACAGACTTTTGGACTCTGTGGGAGAAGGTGAGAGTGGGATGACCTGAGAGAATAGCATTGAAACATGTATATTATTTTATTCTTATTTATTTATTTTTAAATTTATTTACTTATTTTAAAGGAGGATAATTCCTTCACAATGTTAGACTTATGGTGTCCTGAACTGAAGATTTTAAAAAATTGCTTGTTTTTATTTTTGGTTGTACCATGCAGCATGTGGGGTCTTAAGTCCCAGACCAGGGACTCATGCCTCCTGCATTGAAAGGTGGAATCTAATCCACTGGACCACCAGGGAAGTCCCAGCATGAGGATTTTTAAACACACTGAGGCTGGTTCTAGCATGTGGCCAAGGTTGGAACTTCTGATCTAAGTCAGATCTTTCAGTCGAATGTGACCTTTATGTCATGTGTCCTAACTGCTCGTGGACAAATGTCCCAGATCCTAAAGAGATCTGCACTCATGGGGGAAAATATGAAGAGCCTGCTGTAGTAACAGGCAATGTGCCTGCATGCATACTTGGTCAGTAAGTTGTGTCTGACTCTTTAGCGACCCCATGGACTGTAGTCTGCCAGGCTCCTCTGTCCATGATATTTTCCAGGCACAAATACTGGAGTTGCCATTTCTTTCTCCAAGGAGTCTTCCTGACCCAAGGATGGAACCCATACCTCTTGAATTGGAAGGCAGTTTCTTTACTACTGAGAAGCCCAACAGGCAGTGTGTTTTCCCCATTATTGCTAATAATGATTCTTCACATATAGCCTCTCTACACCATATAGTATGGTCTCTGTAGCCTATGTGCTGTTTATAAAGCTATTGTCTCTACTCCAAACTCACACTTATGTACATTGCTTTGGGGTGTGGCTCTTAAATGTTTGTTCCATTTTCTAACTTACATACATTCAATAGTGGTCAGTATACATTGTATGCGTTGCATACAGTATACCTTGTATACGCTGCTTTGGGGGTGTGGCTCTTGAAGTGATTGCTCTATTTTCTATCTTACATACATTCAGTAGTGGTCAGTAAATTCTCTTTGCCCTAAATGCTCAGCTGTTCATTTTATACTCCTCAAGCCCTTGGTGGAGTAACATCTTTCTTCGCTCATGAGTGCTATGTTACTGCTATTGCTAATGTTACTGTTACTGCTATGTTATTTTTTGCCTGTTAGCCTTTCAATATCTTTTAAACCAACTCCCAGTTTCAATTTAGTTTAGTTCAGTTGCTCAGTTGTGTCTGACTCTTTGTGATGCTTTGGACTACAGCATGCCAGGCTTCCCTGTCCATCACCAACTCCCAGAGCTTGCTCAAACTTACTTTGATCGAGTTGGTGATGCCATCCAACCATCTCATCCTCTGTCATCTCCTTCTCCTCCTGCCTTCAATCTTTCCCAGGCTCAGGATCTTTTTCAGTAAGTTAGTTTTTCACATCAGGTGGCCAAAATATTGGAGCTTCAGCTTCAACATTAGTCCTTCCAATGAATATTCAGGACTGATTTCCTTTAGTATTGGCTGGTTTGATATCTTTGCTGTCCAAGGGACTCTCAAGAGTCTTCTTCAACTCCACAGTTCCAAAGTATCAATTCTTTGGTACTCAGCTTTCTTTATAGTCCAACTTTCACATCCATACATGATTACTGGAAAAACCGTAGCTTTGACTAGATGGACCTTTGTCAGCAAAGTTATGTCTCTACTTTTCAATATGCTGTCTAGGTTTGTCACAGCTCTTCTTTCAAAGAGCAAGCATCTTTTAATTTCATGGCTGCAACCACTATCTGCAGTGATTTTGGAGCCTAAGAAGATAAGGTCTGTCACTGTTTCCATTGTTTCCCCAGTCTATTTGCCATGAAGTGATGGAACCAGAAGCCGTGATCTTTGTTTTTTGAATGTTGAGTTTAAGCCAGCTTTTTCACTCTCCCCTTTCACTTTCCTCAAGAGGCTCTTTAGTTCCTCTTTGCTTTTGGCCATAGGGCAGTATCATCTGCCTATCTGAGGTTATTGATACTCCTCCCTGCAATCTTGATATCCAGCCTGGCATTTCATATGGTATAGTCTGCATATAAGTTAAAAAAGCAGGGTGATAATATATAGCTTTGACATATTCCTTTCCCAATTTGGAACCAGTCCTTTGTTCCATGTTGGGTCTGTTACTTCTTGACTTGCACACAGATTTCTCAGGAGGAAGGTAAGGTAGTCTGGTATTCCCATCTCTCTAAGAATTTTCCAGTTTGTTATGATCCACACAGTCAATGACTAGCATACTCAATGAAGAAGTAGACAGTTTTCTGGAATTCCCTTGCTTTTTCTATGACTACTTGATCTCTGGTTCCTCTGCCTTTTCTAAATCCAGCTTGTCCATCTGGAAGTTCTTGGTTCACTGTTGAACCAAGTACTGTTGAAACTTTGCTTGAAAGATTTTGAGCATTACCTTACTAGTGTGTGAAATGAGCACAACTGAGTAGTGGTTTGGACAATCTTTGGCATTGCCCTTCTTTGCAGTTGGAATGAAAACTGACCCTTTCCAGTCCTGTGGAAAATGGAAAACTGAAAATGGATAGTGTATAACATCGTTGGTCTAGACCTCATGCTGCAAAGATTTCATGATTGATACAATGGATTTCAACATATCAAAATCACACATTGAGTGGTGAATTGAGGAAAAAAGTTCTGATGTTATGTTAAGATCCTGCAACTTGGTAGTGTTATGCCCGATGTCTGAATCCCCGAGCGGGAAGAGAGAAGGCTTCCAAGACAATGCAACTCGCAAAAAAAGGGAAGTTTATTGCTGACTCGAGTCAGGGCTCCCGCCGCGCGTCCAACGCAGTGGTACGGGGTCAGAGAGCGCTGAGCTCAAGCTGTTACCCAGTTTATAAGGTGTGCATAAGCAGGTGGTAGCTGGCTTAAGCCGATTGGTTACATGTTTGCAAAGTAATCTTATTGGCCCAAACCTTTGCGGGCTTTTTTCAAACTTGGGCGTTCACGGGCTTTTCAGCTTTCCCCTGATAGGTTCCCTTTCTCTTGCTAGGTGTGTGTTGATTGGCTGGCTCCAGGTTACCTGATGGGGGCGGGGAATCCCACCGTTTCAGGGGAAACCGAAACCCAGGTCCGGGCCGCCTGCCAGCCCCAGCAGCCCCACAGTAAGAAGCAAGAGTATGTGGAATTTCCTCCTGAGATGAAAAGGGACCCAGACCCTTCCCAGGACATTCACTCTTCTCCTTTTCCTGTTCTTTTAGTATTAACAAGTCCCCAGAGATGAGGACAACATGGACCAAGTGGCTAATGATGAGCTTTGGGCATTGAGCTCTAAGGTCATTGTAAATAATTGGCTAGTGCCTCCAAGATCGTTACTTTGCCTGTTCTAATATTGTGAATCCACACCTATGTCTCCATCCTTTGTAGGAACTTGTATCAGAATGTCCAGCCTGAGTCTGTCTTCCTGCCCGTCCTGAGGAGGGACTCTGAGACTTCATCACACACCAGGCAGGAGAGAGGCAGTGAGTCTGTGATTCTTGGTCATGTTCCAGCAGAGATGCAGCCAACCCAGTAAGTGCTGAGGGAGACAGGGATGGTGAAGGGGTGATGGGAGCAATCTACATGGGTTTGGAATAGAATGTTTTGAAGTTCATAGTTTTGGTTGAGATGTGAAAACTCTCATTCAGAGTTCTGGTTTCACCCTCACTGGCTTGGCTCTGGCTGGCATCCCTCCCACTAGAGAAGCAAATGCGCCTCTGTAAACTTTCCCCTTGTTCAGTTGCGGTTCAGTCGCTCAGTCATGTCCAACTCTTTCCAACCCCACGGACTGCAACACACCAGGCTTCTGAAAGGCTGTTGCTGACCCACGAAAAGACGCCGGGATTCTTGGCCTCTGGAGGAGAAGAATCAATCTGGGGCCAGAGACGCGGCTTGATCGCTCAGAGTTTTTGTGTAATAAAGTTTTATTAAAGTATAAAGGAGATAGAGAAGGCTTCTGACATAGGCATCAGAAGCGGGCAGAAAGAGTACCCGCTGGCTAGTGTTAGCAATGGAGTTATACACTTTCCAATTAGTTATTACAATGAATCAAAAGAATGTCTGGAGGTTGTAAAGACCTCACTAGACCTACTCCCATAATTTACATATTGAGATAATAGGATTAGCCAGAAGGTTTTTTCCAGAGACTGTCCTCAAGCAGGATAGATTATTGTTATATAATCCTAAGGAATGTAGAGGAACAAAAAAGTTTGTCCTTTCTTCCTCCTTGAGAATTCCAGACCCCTCTTTCCTTGGGGACCCCTAGACTTCTTATCAACCTGCCTAGGAAATGACTCTCTCATTTCCCTGTCCTTCACCATCTCCCGGAGTTTGCTCAAACTCATGTCGGTTGAGTCGCTGATGCCATACAAACATCTCATCCTCTGTCCCCCTTCCTTCCAGCAGTTCAGTTCATTATGGGATCATGATGAGGATGAGAACACACATGATGAGGATGACATGAACCATACCATCCTGTCCTGTTATTGAAGGTCTCCTAAGTGTCGGGCTCTGAAGTATAAATTTTGTATTTTCTGCTTGATTACATGTGCATAATTTATCCCCAACTATATGTACATAACATTACTATTATTTTAATGAGAGGAAAGAAATGAAGCATTTTATGTAACATGTGCCAGTTCTTGGGGCTTCCCTGGTGGCTCAAGTGGTAAAGGATCTGCCTGCCAACGCAGGAAACTCAAGTTCTATCCCTGGGTCATCAAGATCCCCTGCAGAAGGAAATGGCAACCCACCCCAGTGTTCTTGCCTGGGAAATCCCATGGACAGAGGAGCCTGGCGGGCTACAGTACTTGGTATCATAAAGAGTCAGACACAACTCTGGGAGTAAACAACAGCAACAAGATCATGAATTAAAGAATGATAAAATCATGTTTGAAGTCAGTCATTTTAGACAGACTGATTCCAGATGCAAGGTATGTGGGCAATGCCTCTACCACCCCAAACCATCATGTCACTTCCCTATCAGTCCTGGCAGAGACTCCCTGATCTCTGCTCACTGTTATGGGATCACTTGGAGTTTGTTGGTGGGAATGAATATTGGTACAGCCATTACAGAAAACAGAATGGAGTTTCCTTAAAAAAATTAAAAGCTTTTTTTTTTCCATTTATTTTTATTAGTTGGAGGCTAATTACTTTACAACATTGCAGTGGTTTTTGTCATACATTGAAATGAATTAGCCATGGATTTACATGTATTCCCCATCCCGGTCCCCCCTCCCACCTCCCTCTCCACCCGATCCCTCTGGGTCTTCCCAGTGCACCAGGCCCGAGCACTTGTCTCATGCACCCAACCTGGGCTGGTGATCTGTTTCACCCTAGATAATATACATGTTTCAATGCTGTTCTCTTGAAACATCCCACCCTCGCCTTCTCCCAGAGTCCACAAGTCTGTTCTATACATCTGAGTCTCTTTTTCTGTTTTGCATATAGGGTTATCGTTACCATCTTTCTAAAGTCCATATATATGTGTTAGTATACTGTAATGGTCTTTATCTTTCTGGCTTACTTCGCTCTGTATAATGGGCTCCAGTTTCATCCATCTCATTAGAACTGATTCAAATGAATTCTTTTTAATGGCTGAGTAATATTCCATGGTGTATATGTACCACAGCTTCCTCATCCATTCGTCTGCTGATGGGCATCTGGGTTGCTTCCATGTCCTGGCTATTATAAACAGTGCTGCGATGAACATTGGGGTGCACGTGTCTCTTTCAGATCTGGTTTCCTTGGTGTGTATGCCCAGAAGTGGGATTGCTGGGTCATATGGCAGTTCTATTTCCAGCTTTTTAAGAAATCTCCACACTGTTTTCCATAGTGGCTGTACTAATTTGCATTCCCACCAACAGTGTAAGAGGGTTCCCTTTTCTCCACACCCTCTCCAGCATTTATTGCTTGTAGACTTTTGGATAGCAGCCATCCTGACTGGCGTGTAATGGTACCTCATTGTGGTTTTGATTTGCATTTCTCTGATAATGAGTGATGTTGAGCATCTTTTCATGTGTTTGTTAGCCATCTGTATGTCTTCCTTGGAGAAATGTCTGTTTAGTTCTTTGGCCCATTTTTTGATTGGGTCATTTATTTTTCTGGAGTTGAGCTGGAGGAGTTGCTTGTATATTTTTGAGATTAATCCTTTGTCTGTTGCTTCGTTTGCTATTATTTTCTCCCAATCTGAGGGCTGTCTTTTCACCTTGCTTATAGTTTCCTTTGTTGTGCAAAAGCTTTTAAGTTTCATTAGGTCCCATTTGTTTATTTTTGCTTTTGTTTCTAAAATTCTGGAATGTGGGTCATAGAGGATCCTGCTGTGATTTATGTCGGAGAGTGTTTTGCCTATGTTCTCCTCTAGGAGTTTAAAAAAAAAAAAATTAAAAGCTGCAACTAATTGAATAGAACTACCATAGGATCTAGCAACCCAGTTCAGGGTAGGGGCAAAAGAACTGAACTCAGAACTTCTAAGAGATATTTGCATTCCCTTGTCATTGTCATATTATTTTAAATAGTGAAACTGTGTTTATTGACTGTTGAATAGGTAAAAAATATTGTGTGTTTATATAAATAATGGGATATTACTCAGCCTTAAAAACAAGGAAATCCTGCCATTTGTGCCATGTTGGAATGATCTGGAGAATATTATGCCTATTTAAAAAATTAATTTGTTTTAATTGGAGGATGATTACAGTGTTGGGATGGTTTTTGCCATACATCATCATGAATCAAAATTTCAAGAGAATTTCTTAAATTTTATTACCATTTAATCATTAACACTGTTCTGTACAGTAGTACCACCTTTGTAGCCATCAATGCATTATGATCCTGCATTTATTAAACCATACTGATCAAAATTTGAATTCCACTGAAGTCAAAGATATGAAGAATATACTAAAAACTTTTAAAAGACTACTCTGATGTTTGAGTAATGACTAATTTCATGAAGAAGGGAAGGCAGAAAACAAAGAATGATAAAACTCTGAATATCATATAAAATGTGCTCTCACTGTCAACATTCATTTTTAATTAAGAATCAAGAGGACCTAATTCTGCATTTCATAGATTTGTCAATATTGAAAATGAGGAAAATATCTAGAATTGCTTTTGACTGAATTAAGATTTGTATAACTATGTATGTCTTTATTTCTTTAAATCAAATTTTATATATTATTAGAGAGGAAGGGAACTTATCTTTTTACATTATGTCTAAAGAAGTTGGCTATATTTAGCTGAGATCATGGATGTATTAACTCCAATGTTCTTGTTCCCTTTCACTTTTCTATGAAGTTTTACAAAGTAAGAGTGTATAGGCAGAGATGAATAACATAGAAACCAAGGAAAAAACATTTCTAAGCAGGTAGAATTTGTCAAATTGAGAAATATTGCTGAAGACACTGGGGTGTATAATCTTAAAATGAATTGCTTGAATCCAAAATATGGGTATAGTGTTCAATGCCCGTTTACTTATTTCCTTTGTTTCCAGCCCTCTTTTCTTTCTCCAGAGTGTCTAAGCTACATAGAACTGGAAATCTAACCAGTGTCTCAGAATTCTTTCTCCTGGGCCTCTCAGATGATCCAGAACTGCAGCCTTTGCTCTGTGTCCTGTTTCTGTCCATGTACCTGGTCACCATGCTGGGGAATCTACTCATCGTTCTGGCCGTCACCTCTGACCCCCACCTCCACACCCCCATGTACTTCTTCCTCACCAACCTGTCTTTGGCTGACATCAGTTTCATCTCCACCACTGTTCCCAAGATGATTGTGGACATCCAAACTCACAGCAGAGTCATCTCCTATGAAGGCTGCCTGACACAGATGTCTCTTTTTATCCTTTTTGGGTGTATGGATAGTATGCTTCTGTCTGTGATGGCTTATGACAGGTTTGTGGCCATTTGTCACCCACTGCACTATACAATCATCATGAACCCACGCACCTGTTGCATCTTCATTTTGTTGTCTTTTTTTGTTAGCCTTTTGGACTCCCAGATGCATAATGTGACTGTGTTACAACTTACCTGCTTCAAGGATGTAGAAATTTCTAGTTTCTTCTGTGACCCTTCTCAGCTGCTCAACCTTGGCTGTTCTGATACTTTTATGAATAATATAGTCAGCTATATTATCGTTGCCATCTCTGGTTTTCTCCCTACCTCAGGAATCTTTTTCTCTTACTATAAAATTCTTGTCTCCATTCTGAAAGTCCCCTCATCAAGTGGGATGTATAAGGCCTTTGCCACCTGTGGCTCTCACCTGACAGTGGTTTGCTTGTTTTATGGAACAGCCCTGGGTGTGTATCTCAGCTCAGCCATCTCTCTTTCTCCAAGGAAGGATGTAGCAGCCTCAGTGGTGTACACCGTGGTCACTCCCATGCTAAACCCCTTCATCTATAGTCTTAGGAACAAAGACATCAAAAAGGCCATGTGGAGGTTCCTCAGCAGAACAATCTCAGCTTAGGACCTGGCCACCCATTTGAGTGTAGGCTAGAAAATGTAGCAAAACAAAACCTGGAGATGTAAAATTCTACCCTTCTCATGTCATCAGTTTTGCAACTCTTATGACCTTCATGTCTTTCTTTGCTTTCCACCTGAATATTGTTTCTGTTTCTGGTTTAACATGACGATGGGAGATCGAGGATCCTTTGCGTGTCATAATCACTTCTTACCTGAATTTCTTTATATCTATGGAGATTCTATAATTTATCTTTGGTGGCACAAACATCCTCGGAGAATGAATACTTCCCTTTCAAAATATTGAAAATTCATGAGTTTTGCACAGCTGTTATATCATTTCCATAGTAAATTCTGTATCTATGTTTTAAATCTGCACATGCAGTTATGGGTGAGGAGGTATGTCACTGCTTCTCAACCTAGGCTTTTATTGAAAATATCTAGGAAGATTAAAGATACTGACCTTGTGTTGCACCACCAGACACTCTAACTGTACTTGGTTATGGCCTAAATATGAGGATTTTTTAAAGCACTCAGGTGGTTCTAGTGTGTGGCCAAGATTGAGACTACTGATATAAGTTAGAATTTTCCTCAAAAGTGACCTTTATACTTTGGGTCCTAACTGCTCATGGGCAAATGCTGAAGATCCAGAAGAGATCAGAGGTCAAAGGGTGGAAGATATGAAGATTCTGCTGTAGTAACAAGCAATGCATTTCCCCCATTATTTCCAATAATCTTCACATAGTGTATCTACATATATGCATGGACCTTGCTCTGGGGTGGGATGCTCAGAATCACTGTTCTATGTTGCATCTTGGGTTGATCTTACATACTTTCAACATGATCTGTAAACATCTCTTTGCCCTAAATGTTCAGGTGATCCCTTTAAACCCCTCAAACCCTTGGTGGAGTAGCTTCTTCCTTCACTTATGATGGCTATGTTACTTCTTTTTCTTTCTTTTTTTACCTTTCAGCCCTTCAATCACTATTTAACTAACTCTCTGTTTTAAAGCTTTTCATTAAAATGATTAACTGCATTATTCCTGGTTGACTGCCACTCAGCCATAAAAAGTAACAAAATAGTGCCATTTGTAGCAACCTGAATGGACCTAGAGATTGTCATACTGCATGAGGTATGTCAGAGAAAAACAAATATCATATGATATCACTTATATGTGGGATCTATAAAAGGGTACAAATGAACTTATCTACAAAGCAGAAATAGTGTTACAGATGTAGAAAACAAATTTATGCTTATCAGTGAGTAAGGGATAGTAAGGGATAAATTGGAAGGTTGGAACTGACAATGAATATTCAGGACTGATTTCCTTTAGGATGGACTGGTTTGATCTCTTAGCATTCCAAAGGACTCTCAAGAGTTATCTTGAACACCATAATTTGAAAGCATCAATTCTTCAGTGCTCAGCTTTCTTTATGGTTCAACTCTCACATCTGTACATGACTATTGGAAAAAGCATAACTTTGACTATATGGACCTTCATTGGCAAAGTAATGTCTCTGCTTTTTAGTATGCTGTCTAGGTTTGTCACAGCTTTTCTTCCAAGGAACAAGTGTCTTTTAATTTCATGACTCCAGTCACCATCTGCAGTGATTCTGGAGCCCAGGAAAATAAGGTCTGCCACTGTTTCCTTGTTCCACCATCTATTTGCCATGAAGTGATGAGACCAGATGCCATGATCTTAATTTCCTGAATGTTGATCTTTAAGCCAGCTTTTTCACTCTCCTCTTTCACTTTCATCAAGAGGCTCTTTAGCTCCTCTTCCCTTTCTGCCAAAAGGATGGTGTCATCTGCATATCTGAGGTTATTGATATTTCTCCTGGCAATCTTGATTTCAGCTTGTGATTCATGCAGCCTGGCATTTTGCATAATGTACTCTGCATATAAGTTATATAAACAAGGTAACAATATACAGCCTTGATGTCCTCCTTTCCCACTTTATTACCATGCCTCTGTCAGAATATTTACATTTTAGGGCTCCTATTGCATTCTGCAAGATAAGTATCCATCACAAATTGGGATGTCACATATTGTTTTTGTGACAGTAATCTTGGCTGACTGAAATCTGTGCAGAACTACTTTAGTTACTTTCCATTTTACCACTTAAGAAAATCACCAACCAACTCTACTGATGAGAGACTTTGATATTAAAAGAAAGAATATACTTGAAAAAAGATACAGTCTTACTAGTTTAGGGAAAGGGATATCACCCCCCAAAAGTTACTAAAATCACTAAAATACTATATCTGCATATCCATTTAAGTTAAACTAAGTGACGTTTTTCCAGTGGTCATGTATGGATGTGAGAGTTGGACTGTGAAGAAAGCTGAGTGCTGAAAAATTGATGCTTTTGAACTGTGGTGTTGGAGAAGACTCTTGAGAGTCCCTTGGACTGCAAGGAGATCCAACCAGTCCATCCTAAAGGAGATCAGTCCTGGGTGTTCATTGGAAGGACTGATGCTGAAGCTGAAACTCCAATACTTTGGCCACCTCATGCGAAGAGTTGACTCATTGGAAAAGACCCTGATGCTGGGAGGGATTGGGGGCAGGAGGAGAAGGGGACGACAGAGGATGAGATGGCTGGATGGCATCACCGACTCGATGGACATGAGTTTGAGTAAACTCTGGGAGTTGGTGATGGACAGAGGCCTGGCCTGCTGCGATTCATGGGGTCGCAAAGAGTCGGACACGACTGAGCGACTGAACTGAACTGAACTGAAGTGACGGTCAAAGAATCTTGAAAGAAGCCAAAGTAATGCTACTTTGTGTGTGTGTGTGTGTGTGTGTGTGAGTGTGTATATGTGGTTCTGTGGTTTAATTTTCTGTTTATGTTCTATTAAACTTCTATCACTTGGTTTCTTTTTAGATCATGTTAAATTCTCATAGCAAATGAATATAAGGCATTTTAAATCCATAAATATTACAAGAGAAATATACACTTGAATAGTAATCCTAGGTGTTCTACAGTATTCATGGAATGATTTTCTGCAATGTTCACAATTGATAATATGTCAGAAAATACATTCTGATTGTATCAGTTTAATATATTACATTCCACAGAGAAGAGAAATCCTATATTTCATGTCTTTCACTGTCTGACTTATTTCACTTAGCATAATGACCTAACAGAAACAGAAGAAATTAAGAAGAGGTGGCAAGAATACATAGAAGAATTGTGTAAAAAAAAGTTCTTAATGACCCGGATAGTCACGATGGTGTGGTCACTCACCTAGAGCCAGATATCCTGTAGTGTGAAGTCAAATGGGCCTTAGGAAGTAATATGATAAACAAAGTTAGTGGAACTGATGGAATTCCAGCTGAGTTATTTCAAATCCTAAAAGATGACACTGCTAAAATGCTACACGCTATGTGCCAACAAATTTGGAAAACTCAGCAATGGCCACAGGACTGGAAAATTTCAGTTTTCATTCCAATTGCAAAGAAGGGCAATGCCAAAGGATGTTCAAACCACTGCACAGTTGTGCTCATTTCACATGCTAGTAAGGTAATGCTCAAAATCCTTCAAGTTAGGCTTCAATAGTATGTGAACTGAGAACTTCCAGATGGACAAGCTGGATTTAGAAAAGACAGAGGAACCAGAGATCAAGTAGTCAACACCCATTATAGAAAAAGAAAAGGAATTCTAGAAAACTATCTACTTCTGCTTCATTGACTACACTAAAGTCTTTGACTCCATGGATCACAACAAACTGCTAAAAATTCTTAAAGTGATGGAAATGCCAGACCACCTTACCCATCTCTTGAGAAACCTGAATGCAGGACAAGAAGCAATAGCTAGAACTGGATATGGAACAATGGACTGTTTCAAAATTGGGGAAGGAGTATATCAAGGTTGTAGATGGTCACCCTGTTTATTTAACTTATATGCACTGTGAACATCATGTGAAATTTCAGGTTGGTTGACTCACAAGCTGGAAACAAGATTGCCTGGAGAAATATCAGCAACCTCAGATGTGACAACAACCTGACACCACCCTAAATGCAGAAAGCAAAGAGCCTCTTGATGAAGGTTAAAGAAGAGGAAAGTGAAAAAGCTGGCTTAAAACAAAACATGAAAAAACTAAGATCATGGCATCTGATCCCATCACTTCATGGCAAATAAATGGGGAAATAACAGAAACAGTGACAGATTTTCTTTTCTTGGGCCTTAAAATCACTCACTACAGTGACTGCAGTTATGAGATTAAAAGATACTTGTTTCTTGGAAGGAAAGCTATGACAAACAGATAGTATATTGAAAAACAGAGACATCACTTTGCCAACAAACGTCCATATAGTCAAAGCTATGGTTTTTCCAGTAGTCATGTATGGATGTGAGAGTTGGACTGTAAAAGAAGGCTGAGCACTGAAAAATTGATACTTTCAAGGTGTGGTGTTGGAGAAGACTTTTGAGAGTCCTTTGGACAGCAAGGAGATCAAACCAGTCAATCTTAAAGGAAATTAACCCTGAATATTTATTGGAAGGACTAACACTGAAGCTGAAGCTTCAATACTTTGGCCACCTGATGTGAAGAACTGACTCATTAGAAAGTACGTTGATACTGGGAAAGATTGAAGGCAGCAGAAGGGAATGACAGAGGGTGAGATGGTTGGATGTCATCACCAAGTCAATGGACATGAGTTTGAGCAAGCTCTGGGAGATGGTGAAGCACAGGGAAGCCTGGTGTGCTGTAGTCCACGGGGTCACAAAGAGTTGAACATGACTGGGCGACTGAACAACACCACCACCTGGGAAGCCCGTAATCAAATCTACTGAGTTGCTATTTGGTCATCATGATAGTGGGCATTGGGAAGTGGGAAAAGAACATGACATATGTCACATTTTTGGTACAATCATAACTACCTTGGTTTCCTTGTCTCATGTCCTATAAATTTGTCCTTGTCTCTGACCCTAGAATCTTATTCCTAGATCTCAGTATGAAAACATTTCAGTTTAGTGATACGTTTTTGCCATGAACTAAATATTTAAATGCTACAACGCCCAGTGACTTCCTCTCATATCCACCTGTGCATATCTGCTATGTGATTTCCCTTAAAAATATCCTCTGTCACTTAGTTATACACAGTTGTATAACATTCTTTCCTCCATATCCAATCTGATATGGTTTAAGTTAAAGTTTTCTTCATGTCACTTAAGGACAAACCAACCTCTGCATTCATCAGGAGAGCACTCTCTGTCAGGAAGATTGCATAGACAGGATTGAGAAGATTACATCCCAACACTCTCCACGTACATCCCACTTTATCCAGTAGCAAAAATGGGTAAGCCAAATCCATATTTTATTAAAATCCTCAACAGCTGAGACCACAAAGAAACCAAGAGAAAATATATCCAGGTTTGAGTGGATTCCATTTGAATTACCAGAAATCAGAAACATGTGGAACATAACATGTGGACATTTGTTACATCACTTCATGGAACAGCTGCAGGTTGTCCCGACATTGATGGAGGGGTTCTCCTAGTGTATCAGAAACCAGGGGTCTACTTGAGACTGCATGACCTGAAGTTGTAGAAATATCCAGGGGAGAGGAAGGTCTACCCATTTCTAGTTTGTTTCCAGGGAATTCTTGTTGAGATCATGTTGGTGCAGTGAATCTGGGAATATACTGAAAAGCAGATGGGCAAGACTTAATCTTGGAAGGGTTTGGTGCACAAAGTCCCTAAGGAGGAGGCCTGTGTGGTGGACAGGATCTGAGATGCTCTCACTTATCCCACCTCTTGGTTTTCATTCCATTGTATGTTTCCTCCAATCAACTGTGAACTAAAGTAAAGAGATGAAAGCATATTATCTTTACAGACAATTATTAACTCTGAAAATGGAAAGTGCATCACATCATTGGCTAGACTGCTTGCTACAGAGATTTCATAATTGATACAATGGATTTCAACATATCAAACCCACACATTGAGTGGATAAAATTGAGAAAAAAATGTCTGACATTATGTTAAGATCCTTCAAGTTGGAGGTAAGAAGCAAGAGAACATGGAATTTCCTCTTGAGATGAAGAAGGACCC